CGCCGGCTTCCGGGCGGCCGGCGCCGACTGACCTGGCGTTCATCTCGACGGCGTTGTACCCGGCGTGCTTCGCGATGACGTGGGCCAGCGTGGTCTTTCCCAAGCCGGGCGGGCCACAGAGCAGGGCTACCTGCGGCAGAGAGGTGACATCAGCCCGACCGAGGCTGCCACGCGAGGGGACGAGGCTCTGCAGCCCCCCCAGCCCGGTCTGCTTCTGCTGGGGAGCCGCTGCGCTGGTTTGTAGACACACGGGGAGAAGGGAAAGTCACCGGAGCAAGGAAAATCAAACAGAAACCCTCAGAGGTGACAGAGCCATCCCGGCAGCATCTCTCATGCGTATGTTTAAGTTTGCAGGGCAATAGACAGAAAAAGCTCAGCAAAATCCCTTCGCAGAATCATCAGGGTTGGAAACGACCTCTGAGATCATCAGGTCCAGCCGTCACCCCAACCCCACCATGCCTACCACGTCCTGCAGTGCCACATCCACACGGTTTTTGAACCCCTCCAGGGACGAGGACTCCCCCACTGCCCTGGGCAGCCTGAATTAAATTCCACAACTACACTCGCAAGAAGCAATGCTGTTACTATCTATTTTTCCCTGTTTTTATATCCTCTCACTGGACAGGATGAGGCTGCTAAGCTGCCCTGGGTACGTTATCTCTGCTCCCTTTAGCATTTGAGCGTCGTTCCTCTTGTCCAGATGGAGAAACTCTTGCTCAAAGCCATGTCACGTCTGCACCGAACAAATTAAGTCAAGATCAACCTCTGCTACGAAGAGTACGACTTTCCTCAACCCGTCCATTTAATTCAGGTGGAGGAAGTCTGTTTCCCCACCCTTGTTAGCACATTATCCAGGCCAAACCAGGACAAGGAATGAGAAATCCCCACATTCTCTAAGGAGAAAGCAGGAATCCCATTTCTCCTGGATCTGTTCTGGAAGACCCTGCTCCTCACCATGGTGGTGGCAGGAGGGGGGCTGGAGCAGAGACCCACGGCAGCAGCCTCCCGTCCCGCTCACCTTGTATTTGGGTCTCTTGTGCTGGTCCAACTCCGCCTCCAGAATCTCCTCTGTGAGCTGCACCTTCGTCTTCCACTTATTCTGCTGCTCCTTGGGCTGGCTGAAGGCAGGGTGAGGCTCGGCGCTGGGCTTGGCCTTCTTCCCAGCCTTCTCCTTCCCGAACACCACCGTGTCCCAGAGCTTGAGCCACTTCAGCAGGCAGCGGTTCGTGTACTGCACGTCGGGCAAGAAAGCAAGCGAACCCTGCTGAGCCTCCGAAGGGTTCGGCCGAGGACAGCAGGCGGCTGCTCCTTCACGGCTTAGAAACCAGCGCGACAGAGCCGAGCCCGGGCAGGCAGCGCAGAGCGCTTCTTTTTGGTCTTGTTTTGGTCATCTTTCAGAGTCTCTTTCGATGGAAAATTCACAGCCTACGGCTGAAAACCCCCCACCCCGAGCTCTCGGCAGCAGGAGCGGTCCCAAGGGCGGCCAGCACGGACACAGCCCCCCAGCCAGCGCTCCCGAAAGCCCCGCGAGCAAACGCAGCACCGTAAAACCACGATCCCGCAGCTTCAAGGAGAGCTGTAAAAGAGGAAAAACCCACCCAAACCCCAAGCCCCCGCTCATCCCCGAACCTCACATCGTCACTGAGCAGCTCCACGTAGCGCCGGGGAGTGAACTTGTCCACCCAGAGGCAATGCAGCGCCGAGTCCTCCTCGTCTGCCGGCTCCGCTTCCCCGCTGGGCTCCGGGCTCTCGGCGCTGGTCTCGCTCTCAAGGCAACTGCAAGGAAGAACTAATTAACCCCAAATTACCCAAGGAGTCAGGGCAGGGCTGGGAATTACACCCAGACTTCCCAAGTTGGGGATGCTAAGGGCGAAGAGGCTGCTCTGCTCACAGGATCCCAGCATGGCAGGGGTTGGAAGGGACCTCTGTGGGTCACCCAGCCCAACCCCCTGCCCAAGCAGGGTCACCCACAGCAGGCTGCA